AAAAAGTGTTCCATTCTCTGAAACATTATTGTGGTCTTGTAAAAATAATAATTTGATTGATTAAAAACATCTTTAATTGATTAAAAGAGGTAAAATTAAAAAAAAGTACAAAAATGTGAAATATTGAAGCAACTTTAAAATGACAAGTTAGACAAGTTAGAAATATAACATTTGACAACGAAAAATTACACTATAATTTAATTGGCAAAATGTGTCCAAATATTTAATCAGACAAAATTTTCGTCACAAAGATTTGTAATCTAATGATTTAAATGTTCTTCGGATGATACCGACTATTTGGTTTGCCTTTTTTACTTGAATTTTTATATGTTTATCAAATGCAAGATGACTATCTATGTTTACTCCAATATCTTTTTCTATATCTATCACGTCCAATGTTGTCATAACCACCGTCATACTTTTTCATTTGATAACTATATGACTGTGTCAATTTTTTCCGCTTGTTATAAATTTTCAGCACTTTGCATTTATCATGTTTATCAGGATGGAAGCGTAGCATCCATTCAACACTCCAATCGAACAAATTGTCCAAATCATGCTGTAGTAGGCTAACGTCATTCTCGGATTTAATCTCTCTGAACATCTTAGTATCATCGGCAAATAGGAACACCTCTGATATCACACTTTCTGGTAAGTCGTTGATAAAAATGACAAATAGTATAGGACCCAGGACTGATCCTTGAAGGATCCCACTGGTTACGTTGTGCCAGTTGGAATAATTTCCACAAATGTTTACACGTTGTTTCCTATCACTTAGAAAGCTCTAGATCCGATTACAGGTTCTGTCTAAATTTCAGTCCATCTATCAAGAACCTTTATAAGTTGTAGTGAGGTGGATCTCCCACTTATAAAACCAAACTGTTTGCTACTAAATAAATTATGGCTATTCATGTGTTGGACTATTCTCTGTCTCACGAGTTTTTCCATTTGCAAATAACACTGGACAAGCTAACCGATTAGACGGAGATGTTTTATCACCTTTCTTAAATACTACTGATATTTGACTTATTTTCCATCTTTGGGGTACCGTCCCACTCTTAAAAACTTTCATTAAATATATTACTTAGTGGCGAGTCAATAGTATTTGCTAGTTTGGACCTGGTGATTTTGACGTATTAAGTCTTTTAGTAATTTATTTACCTCTGTACTGTTAAAAAGCCCATCACTAGAGAAACTGTCACAATATTTCTTACTACTATCTACTGGGTTGTCTGATTCTAGTGTAAATACACTACTGAAGAATTCAGCTAGTACTTCAGCTTTCTCGTTATCTGTAGATGCTATAAATTTTGTACCATTTACTTTAGTGTGTAACTCTGATATACCAGATATAGATTTTCGTTTTGAGTTTACATATTTCCAAAAAGTTTTACAGTTAGTTTTGGCGCTTTCTGCTATCTGAATCTCATGACGTTTTCTTTCGTTCCTAGTTACTGTTTTCACTTTATTTCAGTCTAGCTTTACAATATTCTCTATATCGTGTACTATCTCTAGTCTCTAAGTAGCGAGTCCAAAGCCTCTGTTTCCTCTAAATACATCTTACTGCTTCACTCGAAAGTGGCGTTTTCCCCTTAATACCACTTACTATTTAGTTTACTTTTTGGAATACATTCATTCATTGTATCAGTTAAATTGTCCATAAAAATACTAATCATGTCTTCTGTACATTTTCCATCTAATAACTCATTCTAGTTTAAATTTAACTTATCTCTCATTTTATCATAGTCACCTTTAAAATAGTTGAATTTCTGACTTGCATTCGAGTCATAATTAATATAACAATAATAATTAAAATTCAGCACGCAATGATCACTAGATCCAAGTGGATTATCATAGTTAATTTTCGATACTCTGTTGACACATGTATCATTTACTAATAATAAATCAAGGGTTGATGGTTGTTGATTAATCCTATATCTAGTAGGTTTATCGACTAATTGATCAAAATAACAATCTCTAATGCATTCTATAATTTTAGATCAGTTTCATCACCAGCTTCCCACTAAGCCCAATCTATCTTATGGAAGTTAGAGTCCCTTGTCACAAGTATAAGGCTAACTTGAACATTTCCTCAAGTCGACTAACTTTCATCAAAAGTTCATTTAAATTATCATGGTTTTATCAGAAGACGGGCTTTTATATATACATCTTATCAGTAACTTGTCATTGTCTTTTAAATTTATTTTAACCCATACTATAAGTTATATGGTTCGCTACTGACCCCCTACGGATCCATAGAGGGTTAGTAAAATGCATAGGGGGTGAGGCCAAAGGCCGAATCTCCTACGAATTTTATTTACCCTCTATGGTCCGTAGGGGGTCAGTAATGAACCGTATAACGAATTTATCGCACGCGGGACTTTTTCTGCTGCGTTTTGTAGAAAAAATAAACAATGAAACACAACAGCATTAATAGATGACGTCACCATTAACAGTAGACGTGACGTCATGAACCCCCTATGAAATTTACTAACCCCCTACAGATCCATAGGTGGTCACCACGTGACGGCGTTAAAAACCAATCACAACGTGATAATTTACTCTCGGTGCGATAAATGCTCTTTAAACTCAATATTTACTTGGACTGCTTTAAGTTCTTTTTTCACATATAACATTTATAAGTATACCACGTCTGATGAGAAATTATCTGGGAATATATCACATAATCACTAAATGAAAATTCAGCCTTATTCAATTTATATCTAGAGTCTTTTTAGTAATACTTCTTAAAAGATTATTATCTCAGGTGCCTGTTTAATGTCACTTAATGTCACGTAATTTAAATGTGATAATTGTTTTATAAATGTGCGTTTGGACTCCAGTATCAGCCCATATTATTTTCAATGGTCTTGGTTTTTCATCCCCTAAATCATCATCTGAATCTTTAATCTTACCCAGCCTTGTGACAATAACAATGCTACTGTTGTCAGCTTCAATGAATAAAGCAAGACTTTTAACATACCGTCAGTGTCTCTCTGTTTGCGAACTATACTTTCTTTATCAGTGACCTCGTCTACCCCATGGATAATAATGTTTTTCTCTCTAATACTACTCTCTCGAATGTCTGGTACTTGTTTATTAAGTGTTTCTTTAATCTTATTTAACTCGGATTGACCTGTATTTTCAGTTTCTTTCATAGTTTGTTTAATAATAACCATAACCTGATCAGAATCTACTTTCTTAGTGATTTCTGTTTCTAGTTGTATGACTCTTTTCTCCGTTACATGAAGAAATTCTGCACATCTTACCTCAACTTCTCTGTCCGTACGAATGTTTTTCATAACTTTGTCCTCACAATTAAGTGTGACAGAACCAATGCAGCTCGATGGATTCATAAATACCTGGTACTGTTCTGATGTCAAATCTAGGCAATTACTGCAGTAACAATTTTCACAATATTCACACTGAATTATTTTATTGGCACTGGCTACGGTTACATGGAAATGTAACAATAATAAAAAATTGTTACATTGGAGACTAATTGCCGGAATGCAGGGTTGGGTAAGGAACCGATTAATTACGAATGTTACAATAATATTTGTGTCTACGGTTACATTCCGTTATTGTTACATTAATGCAAGTGCAATGTACGCTAGTGTGGGAATAGTAATATGTAGTAAAATAAAACTTGAAAACTTTTAATTGATATTGCATACATTTCTTAAAATTTTTATTTACAATGACAGTTTCTACAACTCCAGTATGTTGTTTTTGAATTATGTTTTAGTCCGACGCATTTTGGTGAAACCACTACAAGCACCTATCACAAACCAGTGATGCGGCAATGTGTACGTCTGTATTGCATACTGTACACTTCCATTATGAAACTATTTCTTTTTGAAGGTAAAGAAACTTTCAATGTCTGCCATGCTTCAGGTGATTTTTTTTTTACTATTGCGATGTTTATAACTTTATCCAATATTTTTGTTGAAAGCATGTGATGTAATTTCATATTGTCTTTTAATATGATTTCATTACTGATTTTATGTTTTTTTCTCCCAAAACAAATTTGTTAATTAATAGGAATCACTTCATCCATTGTTCAAAGTATAATGACAGTAATAAGAGTTGTGTGCAGTTAAATACGTAGAAGTAAACATTTTTCTCAGTCCAAGTTCTTAACAACGAATCGTTGAACTATATTTTTCGTCTTTGGCACTACTAAACTGTAGTAGTATCTTTAAGAATATCAAAACAATTAATACTTAAAACAATTTAAACACTATATATTTGTTGAATATCATTTTTATTATTATTATTATTATTATTATTACAAATATTATCTAGAGGGTCTCATTGGGGTCTAAGCGTGACGCGGGATTGCCGATTTTTTGTAAGCGTGACACGTGAAAGTCAAATTGTTGTGCCGTGAAAACGGGAAATGAAGTCTTGTGGGATACGGGAAATTACAAAAAAAATGAGAATTGCTTACGTACATAGTGTAAGCGGGATACGGGAATCTGACAAAACAGTAAGCGGGATCCGGGATCAGAACCCCCAATGAGACCCCCTATCTAGTACATATCGAAGAATTAAGCAACAAAACTATAGAAGGTTTAAGTTTACTAAAATCTAGCGTACATTGCAGTCTTTATTTAATGTAACAATAACGCAATGTAACTGTAGACACAAATATTATTGTTACATTCGTAATTAATCGGTTCCTAGACCAACCCTGTATTCCGGCAATTAGTCTCCAATGTAACAATATTTTTTATATTATTGTTACATTTCCATGTAACCGTAGCCAGTGCCTATTTTATTAGTGAGGCTAGAGACATATTATACAATCATGTGTCTCTGGTGGGCCGAGTTGATTAATGTATGTACTGGTAAATTCCTCCGTTATCCGAAGAACCCCTCGAGAGCTGCGAGGGTAATATTATATAAAGTGAGACGAGTAGATCTAGGGCGAGTTGGTCAAGATTCGTACGGTAATAAATTTTACCCACAGTTCCCATTTCAATAATAAATGTGAAACGTGGTTTCCGGTTAACACCGAAAGCTCGAATACAGGTCTACCGGCTAACATATTTTAGCGAAATTTGACCAGATTATTGCAAGAATGGTTGACTACGGGTCAGGTCCTATTAAAGAAAGTATAGACAATAGTGTATTTATAGTTCCTGGCATTATCATTGGCGCTTTATTTGGTAAGTTACGACAGGTGCTCGTTGTTTACCTTTCTGATTTTGACACCTGTCAAATTTCTCTACAAATGTGTACACGTGGACTTAACTCTTCACGGTTAGAATTGATATTTAATAACAAATACAACAATGTACATTCAAACGCATTTACTGGATATTTCTTAACAACAAAACAGCAGGCATGCATACATAAGCACACAATATTTGCTGGCTAAAAAGAAACACGTTGGGACCACCACTTGACTTCATGAACTTGAAAAATAGGGATATAAATATTTGCACTCATAAAATTTTCCCTCAAATCAAATATAATTTCTAACATGTCTAAATGTACAGTAAATTTACCCCCATTTTAATCCAAAACTGATTTTTACATGTATTTATTATATCCCATATGTGTGCTAGTGATGAATTCTAGTCACTTCGGCACCTGGTTAAATCGGCATCTGGTCAAATCGGCACCCGGTATAGTCAATTCTGCATATAGTCAAATCGGGACATGGTTAATTCGGCACCCAAGGTAGTTATTTTGGCACTAATGGTTTATATTACATGTATGGTTTGCAAGTATACTATCATGACTATTGAAGACTCCTTTTTTCATGTTTTTTAAGATATTTTCGCTCGAGGTGTCACATATATTTGTCATGCATAACAGAAGTTCCAATGAAAACTTTTTTATAAACAATGCCATAATATCTGTTAATATTGAGAAAACTTCAAACAGCAAATAACTGATTATTTTTCATTGTGTATTGTAACTGCTTAATTACATGCACTGATTCTTAACAATGTAGGAGATGTATCTTTTTAATTAACCTCTGCAATTGTACGCTTTGCAAAAAAATTATATAAAAAAGAACAAAACTATTCTCCCCATACCTCATACCTCAAACATTGTCAAATAAATGTAAAAAGAAAAGAAAAAGGTAAAAAAAAACATTTGGTGCCAACTTGACTAACCAAATGAGGAAATGACTTTAAATAGGTGCTGATTTGACTTTTTCTATGGGTGCCTAATTGACAAGGTGCTGATTTGACTTGTACCCCTAGTGATCCCAACCTGATGAAAACCACTAATTGAGGGTCTGGAATGGGGCATCATTTATTTCTTTATTCTTCAATTTTTTTCTCAATTTTAAAATTTATTTTGACTATTACTCATACATGTACATTTGTACCTGCCAACTTTTGAAAATACCCATAAAAGGGTTTTAGTGCGTAACAACAATTTCGAATTCTTTGCAGCGTTTTTTTGTGCATGCTGTTTTGTGCTCTAGAAAAAGTGTCACATCTTTTTTTATACGGCCGCAAAAAATTTTTGCGGTCGTATATTGGTATGACGTTAGCGTCGTCGTCATCCAGCGTCATTGTCCGAAGACACATTGGTTTTCGCACTCTAACTTTAGTTTAAGTGAATGGATCTCTATGAAATTTTACCATAAGGTTCAATACCACAAAAGGAAGGTTGGGATTGATTTTGAGGGTTATGGTACCAACAGTTAAGGAAAAAGGGGCCAAAAATAAGCATTTTTGTAACTTCCAGACATAACTTGTGTGTTAGTGTATGGATCTCTCTGACATTGTACCACAAGGTTCCATATCACACAGGGAATGCTGGGATTGATTTTGGGGGTAATTGCCTCAAATTATTAGGAATTAGCGGCCAAAAAAGGGGCAAAAAACAAGCATTTTTCTAGTTTCATGACAATAACTTGTGTGTAAGTGTATGGATCTTTATGAAATTGTACTACGAGGTTCCATATCACAAAGGGAAAGCTGGGTTTGAGTTTGGGGGTAAGGGAGCTACCATTTGATTTTTATGGGGGGGCTAGGATGAAAAATTTTGTCCTGCTTTTATTTTAGTTGTAATCTCTGTCCTGCTTTTATTTTAGTTGTAATCTCTGTCCTGCCTTTTTATTTTTTACTCTATTCGGTCCTGCCTTTTTTTTAACTAGTTTATCCTGAATTTTTTTACACAAATTGTCATCCTGCCTTTATTTTTTCACCAAGTTGCTCATCCTGCCTATTTTTTTACTCAAAACTCCTGTCCTGCCTATTTTTTTCAAATTTCATCCTAGCCCCCACATATATAAAAATCAAATGGTAGCTCCCTAATTGCCCTAAACGTTTATTATATTAGGAATTTGGGGCCAAAAAGGGGTCAAATAACAAACATTTTTCTAGTTTCCAGACAATTACTTGTGTTCAAGTGTATGGATCTCTCTGAAATTGTACTGCAGGTACCATACCGCAAAGGGAAGGCTGGGATTGAGTTTGGGGGTGATGAGTCATAAGGGGGTTCAAAATTAAATATTGAGGGGGGGGGGATTTTTTTTTCTTTTAAATTTTCCATTTTAAATTGGTGTTTTCTGATTTATATATAAAAGCAAATAATAATGATATGGTTTGAATAGGTAAATTAAACATTTTTAAGTTCTTAGACCACATTCATTCTGTGTCAGAAACCTGTGCTGTGTCAAATATTTAATCACAATCCAAATTCAGTGCTGTATCAAGCTTGAATGTTGTGTCCATACTTGCCCCAACTGTTCAGGGTTCGACCTCTGCGGTCGTATCAAGCTGCGCCCAGCAGAGCATTTTATTTTATATGGTATACTGATGATGAGCTTATAAGCCTTTTTCTTCTGTTTATTTGTATGATTCTAGTAGAAAAAATGAACATGTAGCTAGAATACCAGGATATTTATTTTCTTGTGTAAGAATATTAAATGATTGTTGACTTTTCCAATTTGAAATTATGCACAAAGAAGGACATTTATCTGATCCTTGTGAAAAATAAAACAAAGAACATTGTACTTTAAATGATTTGGTAATTTAATTCCAAAAATGACAACACTGTATGATCTGTTACAGTAAGTGTAATGTTCATAAGCTTCTATTTATTATGTGTATGGTAGTACTGTATGATTGAATTTTGTCAATCAGCCCTGCTTTTCTTCTTAAGCTGTGTAAGAACCTTCTTGCAGATGAAAATTCACCTGCCATGTTCACGATTTTTACAATTCTGACATACAGACAGAGGGATACAACTCAAATGTTCCAAACAAGTTCAAAATTTAGCATGTCTGCAATGCCCAATATTAATCACAAGAAACAAAGATTTTGATTGGATCATAAACATGATAAATGTGATCATGAGAAACACAAGACTTTGATAATGGTTTTTCACTATTCCTTATTTTTTTTGGTCCTTTATTCTGCATTTTTTGTAACAGTAAATATCGGCCCAATAGTATATAAAATTTGTCCCCCAGACTTTGTTTCCTAGGTAATCAAGTATTTTTTGTAATTTGTTTATTTTTGACATAAAGACAGAATACATCAAGCTTGATTACACATGTACATGTACAGTTTTAAGTATGGTCTCAAAGATATTATTATATTACTTCAACACTAAATAGCAAACATAAAAAAAGATATAACTATAATTTTTGTACCAGTTATGCAATATTTAAATCACCTAAGACAGATTGTAATGGCAACCATTTTTTATATATATTCGTTTTGTGCAGACGATAAATGATAAATAATTAACCGTATGTTGTTCTATTCTTATACAATATTTTAAATATGCAGTACTACCTTTCACAGAAGCCAAGGTTTTTTCTCCTGAATTTTTACAGCTATAAATATAATATTTTAAAATCAACATTATATGTTGAACTGCATTATATGGGTAAAAAATTTCTTCAATACCAAAAATAACATCCCTTGCATCTATATGTTTCAGGCTAAATCCACATTTTAATAATAAATTTTGAAGTGCAATACAAATATTTTTACTGTTACCTGTATACACATTCTTAAAAGATATTCAATAAGCTTTCTTTGGTTTCAGTGCAAAAAGTGCACATTTCTGTTTCTGTTAAACCACATTTATAAAGAAAAATAGTTTGTGCATATAATTCTATGTAATAACTTGAACTGAAAATTTTGAAGTTTAGTGTTCTTTGTTGCTATATATATGTAATCAAGTTCATAACTATCATTTTCCTAGGAAAATAAGTTCATAGCTAGCTATATATAAACATGGTAAAGTATGTCTGGAAATTATTTTCTAGTAAAAAATTTCCAGGGACTTACTTTTCTAGCAATTATGGCCATGGAGAACTTTTCATGCATATTAGGGTCAATTTTCAAATTTGTACCGAACTGTTCTGCAAATGACTAAATCATAAAAACATAAAATATTTGAATATATTAAAAATCTAATTTCCTTTTTATGAAAGTCCTTGCTATCAATTTTTTCCCTGGGAAAAAAAATCCCTTTAAAATTTCAATTTTAAGACATTCCTTGATATTAATTAATTCAAATTTGCTTTAATCATTACTTCAATAGTAAAATAGACAAACATTTTTAAGTAATAAAAATCATAAAAGTCTGTGATATCAATTTTCCTAGGAAAAAAGTCCAGTGTAATTATTATGAAAAGCACCCACATTGTAATAAAATGATGAAAGATTGAAGTACAATTGTCATGACTGTTAAATAAATATTGAAACTTAACAATTAAACATTCCATTGTTTTATACATGGAATGGTTTACTTTTATAAATTGTTACTTGGATGGAGAGTTGTCTCATTGGCACTCATACCACATCTTCCTATATCTAAATGTTTTCTTTCGGTTTAAGGATTTTTCATAGTAAAATAAAGGGCATCAACATTTTTACTTAGGATTATTATGGACACGGACATAAATACATGTACCTAGGAAAATTTATCTGTGGACATTATTTAGTGGCATTGGACTAAATATACTAGAAAAATCTGTAACCATGGATTTTTTATACTAGCAATTTTTACCAGGACTGATTTATGTCTTACATTTTTGCCCATTATTCTCTATTCTGAAAACCCCAACAAGACTCTCCTCCATTCATAGCCTCCTTCTTTTCTATGTTAAATTCTGCAATTTCAAGCATTCATAGCTACATGTATTTTGTCTTAATTGCAAATAAAGTGACAGTCATTTCATGTCAAAGCTATACCTTATCCTGACGTGCTGAAAAATTCAACATACTTTTAATTGCATATTAGACCGCACTGATCCTGGGCCTTTGGTACATGTACAATGTAGTACAAAAACCAGTACTTCTGATCTGAAGGGCAAATGTGTGTTATTTTAATTACAACTTTTTTTTTATTCATACATGTAACAAACTTTCAACAATCAAATGGTTCTACAGTGATCACAAGACCTTAAGGTTTCATCTCATACCAAAATTACTTCTATTATATTTACATGTAGGTCCTTTTTTATGCCCCATTATTGGCATTATGTTTTTCGGTCTGTGCGTTTGTTCATCCGTCCATCCGTCCATCTGTCCCGTTTCAGGTTCAAGTTTTTGGTCAAGGTAGTTTTTAATGAAGTTGAAGTCCAATCAACTTGAAACTTAGTACACATATTCCCTATGATATGATCTTTTTAATTTTAATGCCAAATTAGAGATTTGACCCCCAATTTCATGGTCCCCTGAACATAGAAAATGATAGTGCGAGTGGGGCATCCGTGTGCTATGGACACATTCTTGTTATCATATACATTTGTACAATGTAGCTCTTCAACTGTTTCAGTTCTTATACATTCTTTGCTTTCAAATAATCGGCTTTGAGCGTTCCTGATCATGAAGTAAAATCCTGAAAAGCCCTGCTGAAGCATGAAATTTATAAAGTTTGTTTTCATTTTTTACCCTAATATTTGACTTAATATTCATGATATTCATTGACAAAGTAAATATTTTGTTTAAAAGTGTTGAAAGAAGCATACTGTAATTGCCAGAAGTATATTTGTTTATTTTGTCACAAATTTTTCATGAGTTGTTTTTGGTTTCTGCTGACATGGCTGATGTGAATTTGAACATGTATAACATTTTTTACAATTTAATTTGTTGCAAATTTATAGAAGAAAAATAAAACTTGTATATCATCAGAAAATGAAAACACTTCACAACAAAAATATAACCAAATAGACAAATAAACCTACCAGTGCATGTATGACAACTGCTTCTTTTGGTACCAATTTAATTAAAATCCAACCAGAAATGCAAACCACAATATGTTTTTGAATGTAGTTGTGATATAAAGCATAAAACTGTAGGTGACTTAAGCTTATGGACATGCACTGTATCATCATGAACATCTGTATGTACCCCAATTGAACATTTCATTTTTTCATGTTTTTCATTTTTTTAAAATACAATAAATAATCCCTATATGGATAATGGATCCCCTTTTCTGCAATCAGGGTTACGACACCAACACAATTTTTAATTAATAATTGTTTATTGAATTCTGATGTACGAAATATTTAACACAACCAGATTTAAATCATCAAATTTATAAGTGTAAGTCTAGAGTATTCATTGCTAAAGTTTAAAATGTAATTTTTCAGAAATCCATTTGTTATTTCTCCATCTTGATCAGCAGGTTTATGTTCTGTTATAACATTTATTTCTTATGATAAGTATGACCTGAAGTGTTCAATGTTTTATCTCAAAATTAAATTTCAGGAAAATTCAATTTTAAGACACATTTCAGTACTTTACCATGTTTACATGTACTATTGAGTCAACTATGTGTATAGTATATCTTTTCTGAATTTGCCCTCTACATCACTGTACTTTACATGTACTATTGAGTCAACTATGTGTATAGTATATCTTTTCTGAATTTACCCTCTACATCACTGTACTTTACATGTACTATTGAGTCAACTATGTGTATAGTATATCTTTTCTGAATTTACCCTCTACATCACTGTACTTTACATGTACTATTGAGTCAACTATGTGTATAGTATATCTTTTCTGAATTTACCCTCTACATCACTGTACTTTACATGTACTATTGAGTCAACTATGTGTATAGTATATCTTTTCTGAATTTACCCTCTACACCACTGTACTTTACATGTACTATTGAGTCAACTATGTGTATAGTATATCTTTTATGAATTTACCCTCTACATCACTGTACTTTACATGTACTATTGAGTCAACCATGTGTACAGTATATCTTTTCTGAATTTGCCCTCTACATCACTGTACTTTACATGTACTATTGAGTCAACTATGTGTATAGTATATCTTTTCTGAATTTACCCTCTACACCACTGTACTTTACATGTACTATTGAGTCAACTATGTGTATAGTATATCTTTTCTGAATTTACCCTCTACATCACTGTACTTTACATGTACTATTGAGTCAACTATGTGTATAGTATATCTTTTCTGAATTTACCCTCTACATCACTGTACTTTACATGTACTATTGAGTCAACCATGTGTACAGTATATCTTTTCTGAATTTGCCCTCTACATCACAATGCATAAGCACCTTGCAATTAATTTAAGGTTTCCTGTTTCAAGATTGTTTGGAATATCCAAGTAGATGTCATTATTTATCTTTTAGAAACAAAGCACAAATCTGGTGCAGATCCAGGATTTTGAAAAAGAGGGGGGCCTTGGCAAGCCAACATTTACAGTAATACTTTGTAAAAAGTCTATGCATTTGTCATAATGCTCCATAAGGGCAGGCCTGGGTCCTACTCCCTTTAATCTGATTCTGCAAATGATTTGGACCATTCTCAATTCAAATACTTAAAACTATAAATGATTAGCAAATCATGGGAAATTCCCTATGCCCGAATGTCTGTGGTTTGTCAGATCTTATTAGAGTCTCCAAAATTTAAGTCTGTGAAGAGGATTTTACAAATCCTTAGTGAGAACCCTGTATAAAGTAAAAGAACAACACACAGATACTATTACTTTTAAAGTGAGGCATTTGTCTCAATCGCATAATAGCCATTTATTTACTAAATTTAACTGGTAGTAATAAATTGTTAATACCATATATGTGAGAATCAATATGATAATATCAGAACTGCATAAGCAGTGGAGCAGGTGGCATTTACTCTGTTTTCTGTCCTTGGAACATGTGGCAATTACTCTGTTTTCTGTCCTTGGAACAGGTGGCAATTACTCTGTTTTCTGTACTTGGAACAGGTGGCAATTACTCTGTTTTCTGCACTTGGAACAGGTGGCAATTACTCTGTTTTCTGTCCTTGGAACAGGTGGCAATTACTCTGTTTTCTGTCCTTGGAACAGGTGGCAATTACTCTGTTTTCTGTACATGGAACAGGTGGCAATTACTCTGTTTTCTGCACTTGGAACAGGTGGCAATTACTCTGTTTTCTGTCCTTGGAACAGGTGGCAATTACTCTGTTTTCTGTCCTTGGAACAGGTGGCAATTACTCAGTTTTCTGTCCTTGGAACAGGTGGCAATTACTCTGTTTTCTGCACTTGGAACAGGTGGCAATTACTCTGTTTTCTGTCCTTGGAACAGGTGGCAATTACCATGATTACTCTGTTTTCTGTACTTGAAACAGGTGGCAATTACTCTGTTTTCTGCACTGTCAAGTGTCATTGCAGAGGAAGTTTTTACATGTAAATCTTTTGATAACAAAAAAAATTTCTTTCATTAATCTTTTGTTTTCTTTTTCAGCATTTTTTGCCTATAAGTTGATAAAAAGTCTCAGAGACAAAGAAAGAATGAAACAAGAAAAAAAGGAATTAAAGGAAAAACGGAAAGAGAAAGATCAAGCCAAAAGAACAAAAAAGAAATGAGTTGCCTCCCCTTTTAGGATATTTAAATTAATTTCATTGGATGGAAATATCATATATGATTAAATGGATGGACAAATGTGAAAAAAAGCAACTAAGTGCAATTTGACTGTGAAGAATTTTATAATTGAAGTCAGAAAAATGATTGAATTTTGTAGAAATTTAAATTTTTATTGATTTTTATGACAGATGTAAAGATGGTTAAAGAAATTGACATTATTAAGATAATTTTGTGTATAAATGATAGTATATAGAATTAGTACATTTGTTAGTATGTATGATGTAACTTAACTATTCTGGTTTATAAAGATAAAACTAAAAAAGAATTAGCATAACATTATTCTGGTCTTTGGTCAGTTATAAGTCAGAATTATTCCAACTGCTTAGTCAGGTTATACATGTATATAAAAGGAAAGAAACAATTTATTTTGATAAAGCATTGTAATAGTAAAATTAAAATGATTTAAGCCAGAAATAATAAATATATTGATGTCAAAATTGTTGCAGTCAAATAAAAATAATTTTATTTGGAATTGTTATGGAAAATTAAAAGGAGCAGAATTAATTAACACCTGATTTAAAGCTAGATATAAACTTTGCTTATGAAAAAGCTATCACTGTCAGATTAATGACCAGTGTTAGTTTATAGTAATGACAAAGTTGTTATGGTCAGAGTAAAGTCCAGAATAAATACAGTATTGTTGATAATTAGTTTATTATAATGTTTCTGCTGGTGAATAGGTAACGCCAAAAGATGCTTGTAAACTTTGTTTTAAGATGACATGGAGTCACTTTTTGTCTTTTTACAACAATAAATGTTTCTGAAATTTAATTTTACTGTCAGTCATTTAATTTATTTTTTATCATGTGTTGATTTAACCATAAACATGATAAAGTTGCTAAACATAAATTTCAAAGTATTATATATGGATACAAGAGTAGGTGCAGTGTTTTTCATTTTCAACATTATTTTCAAAGTATTATAAATGGATACAAGAGTAATAACAGTGTTTTTCATTTTAAACATTATTTTCGAAGTTATTATAAACATGATAAATGGATACAAGAGTAGGTGCAGTGTTTTTCATTTTAATCATTTGAATGGAATGAGAATAATATTTTGAAGTATTTACCAAAAGTTTGATGATCATAGCTTAAATTAAGAAAGCCTACTGATCTAATTGTGATTGAAGTATTTACCAAAAGTTTGATGATCATAGCTTAAGAAAGCATACTGATCTAATTGTGATTGAAGTATTTACCAAAAGTTTGATGATCATAGCTTAAGAAAACATACTGATCTAATTGTGATTGAAGTATTTCATGTTCATTATTTGTTGTATTACAAACTGAAATACTCAGCAAAGAATGGTCTATTCCAGCATTGACTTTTATTTTATATTGACATTGATCAATAGATAGTTGTCATTTGACATAATTTGAGTTAGAGTTATCTCCCTTTGTCACCATGGTGTAGGGCAAGGTACAGTTCCTTCACGAGTCAGCACAATTTAGATTATAATACTGACGAGTAGGCTTTAGAAAAAGTTATTTTCATTTGTTTTATTTGTGTTCAATTCATCACTAAGGAATTTTTATCAGTCTTGCTTGAATCACATGTTCAAATTTGGTTGGTAAAAGAAAAAAAATAATCAGTTGTCCTACAACATGGTCGCCAAAGTGAAATAACACCAAGTTAAATTATGTCAATGGAAATACATCTATATCAACCTTTAATTTTGATTGGTCTGTATGTAATTATAAAAATAAGATGTAGTTCATTTATCATTTTATTAAATAGCGAAACCATAGCAACTAAGTTATCTCCTTTTTATTCATTAATTTATTGAAAGAAAATTTTGAAATGATCAGTTCCTGAATTATTATGTAGTTTTATTTGACCATTGTATTTTTAAATGATCAGTTTCCATGGTTACTGAATTATTATATACAGTTTTATATGACCAATGTTTTTTAAAGATATTACTGCCATAGGTATTTGCCATATATATTTGCCATTGAATTTAATGTAAAGAATTATCATTTGTGAGTTGTCTCCAAAATAATCACCAGCTGAAAAGAGAAATTGATATTTAACAGAGTTGTCTCCCATTTTTAAGACAACATTGAATTGCCTCCCTTACATCTACTTAATTATATTTCCCACCATTTGGTTATTGGAGGATAGTAATGGAAATTGTTTTTCAATTCAACTCTTCAGAATTTTTACAAACTAGCACATCAAAACAGAAAAATATCATAATCAAGGGAAATTAGACCAATGAGTGATATAATTTCATTTTTAGTACTACCTTGAAATTACCCATGGTCCTTTAAGATTCTGTAATGGATAGTCCAAGTACTAGATCAAATTCTTTAAATTTTATAGTGGTTCTGGCGCAGTAAAAATGGTGCTGTTAATGTTACTCTAGGTTAAAAAAGTGGTTATGACAAACCATGATTAAAACTTGCAGCCTATTTTTATGGTTCAGTTGTAAAATAGTGTATAATGCCAACTATAGTATTAGTAATGATCTCACAGGAAAATGTTTTTTGACTAATTAATTTTACATTCCAATTCAAACCACCGTAGAAATTTACTTGCATAAACTATTATTTAAGAATAAAGACACAACGGCTGACAGAATTCTAAAGCTAGGGTGTTACATCACAAACCTAAATGATCATATGATTAAATGATCACATGACCAAATGATCACATGATTAAATGATCACATGACCAAATGATCACATGATTAAATGATCACATGACCAAATGATCACATGAGAATCTCATAAATAAAAACAGCACTGCTGAAAGAATACTTAAGATTGCATGAAAATCTCTGTTCCGGTTTCAGTCTAAATTAACACTTTAAAAGCAAGAAATAGTTCCAGTTGAAATTTGTATTTTCATATTTTTTTGCAATCGGAAACCTGCTGGCAATATTTTAGTATATATATAGTAAAGCTAAATGAAAATGAATAACAGTTTGTTTCAAAAAAAGAATAAAATGAGGGAAAAAATGTAGATTCAAACTTTTTTCTCAGAAAAATGGCCAGCTGGTCAACCCTGCATATAACTTTTAATTCTCAAGCCTCAATAAATGAGTCCTAAGTAACATGCTAAGTGGATTTTAATCCACTTTTTTATGTGCCACATATTTACTTTGGCCATTATAAGACACACAGGAATTTAATTACTTTTGCCACTATGTATACCACACAGGAAATTAATTAGTTTGGTCGCTATGTATGCCAGACAGGAATTAAATTATTTCGGCCTCTGTATATCTCACACAGGAATTCAATTACTTTAGCCCCTGCATGCCACTTAAGAATTCAATTACTTTGGCCATTGTATGCCACACAGGAATTCAGTTGCTTTGGCCCCCTGTAGGCCACACAGAAATTCAATAACTCTGGCCATTGTATGCCACACAGAAATTCAATTGCTTTGGCCGCTATGTATGCCACACAGGAATTCAATTACTTTGGTCCCTTCATGCCCCACAGGAATTTGATTATTTGGCCCCGGTATGCTGCACATCAATTCAATTACTTTGGCAGCAGTAAGCCCCATAGAAATTTGATTATTTTTGCCATCTGTATGCCACACAGGAAATCAATTAAGCTGCGGTAAGCCACCCAGGAATTCAATTACTTAAGCTGCAGTAAACCACACAAGAATTCAATTAATTTTGTGGCTGTATGCCACACAGGAACTCATTTGCTTCATGTACAATACCAGTAATGTTTTAGTGAAGGTGAATAATCGTGTATTGTTTAAGTCAGATCAGTTATATTTTAGTCAGATGGTATACAGATTCAGAATGTTTTAATAATTGTATGTTGCATATTTATAAATGTATCACAATGATCACCATTTATTACAATAAAACTGTTCAGTTTGGTGAAGTTTGTTTTTGCTTGTACAGATCACCACTTATTACAATAAAACTGTTCAGTCTGGTGAAGGTTGGTTGTCCTGGTACAGATCACCACTTATTACAATAAAACTGTTCAGTCTGGTGAAGGTTGGTTGTCCTTGTACAGATCATCACTTATTACAATAAAACTGTTCTGTCTGGTGTAGTTTGGTTGTCCCTGTACAGATCACCACTAATTTTTTTTTGTACTATTCCCAATTTGTTTACTGAATGTGGATTCACTTAGCAGGTGATGCATGCATAGCAGGAGACGCTTACTCTGGTGATGCATGTATAGCAGGAGACGCTTACTCTGGTGATGCATGTATAGCAGGAGACGCTTACTCTGGTGATGCATGTATAACAGGAGACGCTTACTCTGTGATGCATGTAGCAGGAGACGCTTACTCTGATGATGCATGTATAGCAGGAGACACTTACTCTGTGATGCATGTAGCAGGAGACGCTTACTCTGGTGATGCATGTATAGCAGGAGACGCTTACTTTGGTGATGCATGTATAGCAGGAGACGCTTACTCTGGTGATGCATGTATAGCAGGAGACGCTTACTCTGGTGATGCATGTATAGCAGGAGACGCTTACTCTGGTGATGCATGTATAGCAGGAGACGCTTACTCTGTGATGCATGTAGCAGGAGACGCTTACTCTGGTGATGCATGTATAACAGGAGACGCTTACTCTGTGATGCATGTAGCAGGAGACGCTTACTCTGGTGATGCATGTATAGCAGGAGAGGCTTACTCTGGTGATGCATGTATAGCAGGAGACGCTTACTCTGTGATGCATGTAGCAGGAGACGCTTACTCTGGTGATGCATGTATAGCAGGAGACGCTTACTCTGTGATGCATGTAGCAGGAGACGCTTACTCTGGTGATGCATGTATAGCAGGAGACGCTTACTCTGGTGATGCATGTATAGCAGGGGATGCCTACTCTGTGATGCATGTAGCAGGAGAAGCTTACTCTGGTGACGCATGTATAACAGGAGACGCTTACTCTGGTGATGCATGTATAGCAGGAGACGCTTACCCTTGTGATGCATGTATAGCAGGAGACGCTTACCCTGGTGATGCATGTAGCAGGAGACGCTTACCCTTGTGATGCATGTATATCAGGAGACGCTTACCCTTGTGATGCATGAAGCAGGAGATGCTTACTCTGGTGATGCATGTAGCAGGAGACGCTTACTCTGGTGATGCATGTAGCAGGAGACGCTTACTCTGGTGATGCAATTAGCAGGAGACGCTTACTCTGGTGATGCATGTAGCAGGAGACGCTTACCCTGGTGACGCATGTATAGCAGGAGACACTTACCCTGGTGACTCATTTATAGCAGGAGGCACATACCCTTGTGATGCATGTATAGCAGGAGACGCTTACCCTGGTGATGGATGTAGCAGGAGACACTTACCCTGGTGATGCATGTATAGCAGATGTTTCCCTGGTGACGCATGTATAGCAGGAAACGCTCACCCTGGTGACGCATGTATAGCTTGAGACACTTACCTTGGTGACACATGTATATCTGGAGACGCTTACCCTGGTGACGCATGTACAGCTGGATTCGCTTAGTAGGTGACGCATGTATAGCAGGAAACACTTACCCTGGTGACACATGTATAGCAGGAGACGCTTACCCTGGTGACTCATGTATAGCTGGAGACGCTTACCCTGGAGACGCATGCATAGCTTGAGACGCTTACCCTGGTGACGCATGTATAGCAGGAGGCGCCTACCCTGGTGACTCATGTATAGCTTGAGATGCTTACCCAGGTGACGCATGTACAGCAGGAGGCGCCTACCCTGGTGACTTATGTATAGCTGGAGACGCTTACCCTGGTGACGCATGCACAACTAGAGACGCTTACCCTGGTAACGCATTAAAGCAGGAGATCTTGTTCTTTTAGGAGTTCATGAATTTCCCTCAGTTTTTGTTTGTTACTTTGATTTGTTTTATTAAAAGATATATGAGATAAAAACATCGGTAAACTACTGCTGCCTAAGAATATATCATGTATGTTTAAAAAGAATGTATAAGTAGACTGGTTGTTGTTTGCTTAACGTCCAGTGGCAAAATATATCATTCATATTCAGGTAGTGTATAAGTAGACTGGTTGTTGTTTGCTTAACGTCCAGTGGCAAATATTTCATTCATATTCAGGAAGTGTATAAGTAGACTGGTTGTTGTTTGCTTAACGTCCAGTGGCAAATATATCATTCATATTCAGGTAGTGTATAAGTAGACTGGTTGTTGTTTGCTTAACGTCCTGTGGCAAATATATCATTCATATTCAGGTAGTGTATAGGTAGACTGGTTGTTGTTTGCTTAACGTCCAGTGGCAAATATATCATTCATATTCAGGTAGTGTATAAGTAGACTGGTTGTTGTTTGCTTAACGTCCAGTGGCAAATATATCATTCATATTCAGGTAGTGTATAAGTAGACTGGTTGTTGTTTGCTTAACATACAGTGGCAAATATATCATTCATATTCAGGTAGTGTATAAGTAGACTGGTTGTTGTTTGCTTAACGTCCAGTGGCAAATATATCATTCATATTCAGGTAGTGTATTAGTAGACTGATTGTTCTTTGGTTAATATCCAGTAGCAAATATATCATTCGCTTTCAGGTAATGTATTAGTAGAGTGATTGTTCTTTGTTTTACGTCCAGTGGCAAATATATCATTCATATTCAGGTAGTGTATTAGTCGAATGATTGTTCTATTGGTTAACGTCCAGCGGCAAATATATCATTCATATTCAGGTAGTGTATTAGTCGAGTATCCATAGAATGATTCCTTGTTGCTTACTTAACATCTAGTGGTTAATATAACATGAATATTCAGGGAGAGTATTCATAGAATGATTGTTTGTTGCTTACTTAACATCTATTGGTTAATATATCATGAATATTCAGGAAGAGTATCCATAGAATGATTGTGTGTTTCTTACTTAACATCTATTGGTTAATATATCATGAATATTCAGGGAGAGTATCCATAGAATGATTGTTTGTTGCTTACTTAACATCTAGTGGTTAATATATCATGAATATTCAGGGAGAGTATCCATAGAATGATTGTTTGTTGCTTACTTAACATCTATTGGTTAATATATCATGAATATTCAGGGAGAGTATCCATAGAATGATTGTTTGTTGCTTACTTAACATCTATTGGTTAATATATCATGAATATTCAGGGAGAGTATCCATAGAATGATTGTTTGTTGCTTACTTAACATCTATTGGTTAATATATCTTGAATATTCAGGGAGAGTATCCATAAAATGATTGTGTGTTGCTTACTTAACATCTAGTGGTTAATATATCATGCACAGATTGACGACTTCCAAAACTATAATATATGACAAACTTTATGATTACAATTTTGCAGAGGCTTCGGTGGCCGAATGGTCTAAGTAGGTCATATACTGCATCACTAGCCTGTAAACACCGAGGTTGTGAGTTAGAACCCCACACATGTAGATGCGTTCGACTCCCAATCTCAGTTTAATATCCCAATTGATACGTTACGCCTATGCATGTTCACACTGTGTAGACTTTATAAGCAGAACCACTGAAATCTACACGAAACAAGTTTTGCGGGGCCAATCACAATTTGGTTGTCCAATACGATACGTTTATGTATCAACACATTAGGGACGTGTTTTCGCAGTCTTATAGATCTTCAGATACTCTAGATGTTTGTTATTGAAGACTGTATGTTGCCCTCTAGATGTCCGTTGTTGAAGACTGTATGTTGCCCTCTAGATGTCTGTTGTTGAAGACTGTATGTTGCCCTCTAGATGTCCGTTGTTGTTGAAGACTGTATGTTGCCCTCTAGATGTCTGTTGTTGTTGAAGACTGTATGTTGCCCTCTAGATGTCTGTTGTTGTTGAAGACTATATGTTGCCCTCTAGATGTCTGTTGTTGTTGAAGACTGTATGTTGCCCTCTAGATGTCCGTTGTTGTTGAAGACTATATGTTGTCCTTTAGATGTCCGTTGTTGTTGAAGACTATATGTTGCCCTCTAGATGTCTGTTATTGAAGACTGTATGTTGTCCACTAGATGTTTGTTGTTGTTGAAGACTATATGTTGCCCTCTAGATGTCCGTTGTTGTTGAAGACTATATGTTGCCCTCTAGATGTCCGTTGTTGTTGAAGACTATATGTTGCCCTCTAGATGTCCGTTGTTGTTGAAGACTATATGTTGCCCTCTAGATGTCCGTTGTTGTTGAAGACTGTATGCTGTCCTCTAGATGTCTGTTATTGAAGACTGTATGTTGTCCTCTAGATGTCTGTTGTTGTTGAAGACTGTATGTTGTCCTCTAGATGTCCGTTGTTGTTGAAGGCTATATGTTGCCCTCTAGATGTCCGTTGTTGTTGAAGACTGTATGTTGCCCTCTAGATGTCTGTTGTTGTTGAAGACTATATGTTGCCCTCTAGATGTCCGTTGTTGTTGAAGACTATATGTTGCCCTCTAGATTTCCGTTGTTGTTGAAGACTATATGTTGCCCTCTAGATGTCCGTTGTTGTTGAAGACTATATGTTGCCCTCTAGATGTCCGTTGTTGTTGAAGACTATATGTTGCCCTCTAGATGTCCGTTGTTGTTGAAGACTGTATGTTGTCCTCTTGATGTCCGTTGTTGTTGAAGACTGTATGTTGCCCTCTAGATGTCTGTTGTTGAAGACTATATGTTGCTCTCTAGATGTCCGTTGTTGTTGAAGACTATATGTTGCCCTCTAGATGTCCGTTGTTGTTGAAGACTGTATGTTGCCCTCTAGATGTCTGTTGTTGTTGAAGACTATATGTTGCCCTCTAGATGTCCGTTGTTGTTGAAGACTGTATGCTGTCCTCTAGATGTCCGTTGTTGTTGAAGACTGTATGTTGCCCTCTAGATGTCTGTTGTTGAAGACTATATGTTGCCCTCTAGATGTCTGTTGTTGAAGACTGTATGTTGCCCTCTAGATGTTTGTTATTGAAGACTATATGTTGCCCTCTAGATGTCTGTTGTTGAAGACTGTATGTTGTCCTCTAGATGTCTGTTGTTGTTGAAGACTGTATGCTGTCCTCTAGATGTCCATTGTTGAAGACTGTATGTTGTCCTCTAGATGTCCGTTGTTGAAGACTATATGTTGCCCTCTAGATGTCCGTTGTTGTTGAAGACTGTATCCTGTCCTCTAGATGTCCATTGTTGTTGAAGACTGTATGTTGCCCTCTAGATGTCTGTTGTTGAAGACTATATGTTGCTCTCTAGATGTCCGTTGTTGTTGAAGACTATATGTTGCCCTCTAGATGTCCGTTGTTGTTGAAGACTGTATGTTGCCCTCTAGATGTCTGTTGTTGTTGAAGACTATATGTTGCCCTCTAGATGTCCGTTGTTGTTGAAGACTGTATGCTGTCCTCTAGATGTCCGTTGTTGTTGAAGACTGTATGTTGCCCTCTAGATGTCTGTTGTTGAAGACTATATGTTGCCCTCTAGATGTCTGTTGTTGAAGACTGTATGTTGCCCTCTAGATGTTTGTCATTGAAGACTATATGTTGCTCTCTAGATGTCTGTTGTTGAAGACTGTATGTTGTCCTCTAGATGTCTGTTGTTGTTGAAGACTGTATGCTGTCCTCTAGATGTCCATTGTTGAAGACTGTATGTTGTCCTCTAGATGTCCGTTGTTGAAGACTATATGTTGCCCTCTAGATGTCCGTTGTTGTTGAAGACTGTATCCTGTCCTCTAGATGTCCATTGTTGAAGACTGTATGTTGTCCTCTAGATGTCTGTTGTTGAAGACTATATGTTGTCCTCTAGATGTCCATTGTTGAAGACTATATGTTGCCCTCTAGATGTCCGTTGTTGTTGAAGACTATATGTTGCCCTCTAGATGTCTGTTGTTGAAGACTGTATGTTGCCCTCTAGATGTCTGTTGTTGAAGACTGTATGTTGCCCTCTAGGTGTCCGTTGTTGAAGACTGTATGTTGCCCTCTAGGTGTCCGTTGTTGAAGACTATATGTTGCCCTCTAGATGTCTGTTGTTGAAGACTATATGTTGCCCTCTAGATGTCTGTTGTTGAAGACTGTATGTTGCCCTCTAGGTGTCCGTTGTTGAAGACTATATGTTGCCCTCTAGATGTCCGTTGTTGAAGACTGTATGTTGCCCTCTAGATGTCTGTTGTTGAAGACTGTATGTTGCCCTCTAGATGTCTGTTGTTGAAGACTGTATGTTGCCCTCTAGGTGTCCGTTGTTGAAGACTGTATGTTGCCCTCTAGGTGTCCGTTGTTGAAGACTGTATGTTGCCCTCTATATGTCCGTTGTTGAAGACTGTATGTTGCCCTCTAGATGTCCGTTGTTGAAGACTGTATGTTGCCCCCTATATGTCTGTTGTTGAAGACTATATATGTTGCCCTCTACATACCTTTTGATATCCAACTGTATGTAGCCATCTAGATGTCTATTGTTGACATAGAGCTTACAGTATTGGTTCTTGTGTCCTATCTGTTAACAGTGTGATGAAGAGCTTTCAGCATGGGTTCTTGTATCAAATCGACTAACAGTGTGATGTAGAGCCTACACTACGGGTTCTTGTGTCAAATGTATAACCAGTGTGATGTAGAGCTTTCAGCATGGGTTCTTGTGTCAAATCTGTTAACAGTGTGATGTAGAGCTTTCAGTATGGGTTCTTGTGCCATATCTGTTTACAGCGTGATGTAGAGCTTTCAGTATTGGGTCTTGTGTCCTATCTGTTAACACTGTGACATAGAGATAAGTATTGGTTCTTGTGTCCTATCTGTTAACAGTGTGATGAAGAGCTTTCAGCATGGGTTCTTGTGTCAAATATATTAACAGTGTGATGTAGAGCTAACTGTATGTGTTCTTGTGTCATATCTGTAACCGGTGTGATGTAGAGCTTTCGGCATAGGTTCTTGTGTCAAATCTGTTAACAGTGTGATGTAGAGTTTTCAGTATGGGTTCTTGTGTCAAATATGTTAACAGTGTGATGTAGAGCTAACTGTATGGGTTCTTGTGACATATCTGTTTACAGTATGATGTAGAGTTTTCAGTATGGGTTCTTGTTTCATATCTTTTGAGTGTGATGTAGAGCTTTCAGTATGGGTTCTTATGTCTTATCTGTTAAGTGTGATGTTGAGCTTTCAGTATGGGTTTTGGTGTCAAATCTGTTAACAGTGTGAAGAGCTGTCAGTATGGGTTCTTGTGTCCCATCTGTTAACAGTGTGATGTAGAGCTAACAGTATGGATCCTTTTTTCATATGTGTTAACAGAGTGATGTAGAGCTTTCAGTATGGGTTATTGTGTCCTATATATTAACAATGTGATGTAGATTTACATTATGGCCCGGGGAAGACAGTTTTTTGTTAGTGCATTTCTTTTAGACAGTAAATTCAAATAACAATAAATGGGGAATGTGTCCAAGGGACACATAGATGCCCCCGCTTGCATATAATGTTATAAAGGGACATAACTCAAGAAGGGTAAAAGTGACGCTACCCAAATTTGTACTTAATCTGAGTTTTGTGGAATAAGCATTGTGTATAAGTTTGTAAAGGTGCATTACTCTAGAACAGTAAAAGTAATGCCATCAAAATTCAAACATGATATGTGTTTTGTGGTAATAAGCATTGTGCATAAGTTTCATAACATTTAGTTGAGGCAAACTTAAGTCAGAGATCGGAAACGAAAAAATTCAGCATTTTTTTCATTTGTAAAGGGCATAACTCTAGAACAGCAAAAGTAATGCCATCAAAATTCAAACATGATATGTGTTTTGTGGTAATAAGCATTGTGCATAAGTTTTATAACATTTGGTTGAGACAAACTAAAGTTAGCATGGTTAGAGAATGGAAACCAAAAATTCAGCAATTTTTCCATTTGAAAAAGGGCATAACTCTAGAACAGTAAAAGTGACGCCACTAAAATTCAAATTTGAACTGTTTTTTGTGGTAATAAGCATTGTGTATAAGTTTAATAACATTTGATTGAGGCAAACTAAAGTTAGAGAAAGGAAACGAAAAATTCAGCAATTTTTCCATTTGTAAAGGGGCATAACTTTAGAATGGTAAAAGTGACGCCACCAAAATTCAAACTTGATCTGTGTTTTGTGGTAATAAGCATTGTGTATAAGTTTTATAACATTTGGTTGAGACAAACTATAGTTAGAGAATGGAAACCAATTTTGGGACGTACGGACGTATGGACGGACCAACAGACGTACAGACGAACAAGGGTAAAACTTAATGCTCCCTCCACTATCTGTTAAGAGTGTGATGTAGATCTTAAACTATGGGTTCTTGTGTCATATTTGTTTACAGTATGATGTAGTTTTCAGTATGGATTCTTGTGTCCTATCTGTTAACAGTGTGATGTAGAGCTTAAAGTATGGGTTCATGTGTCATATTTGTTTACAGTGTGATGTAGAGTTTTCAGTATGGGTTCTCGTGTCCTATCTGTTAACAGTGTGATGTAGAGCTTAAAGTATGGGTTCTTGTGTCATATTTGTTTACAGTGTGATGTAGAGTTTTCAGTATGGGTTCTTGCCTATCTTTGAATCTCTTAGTTTAATTTAAGCTTTTTTCCAACATTTTATTTATACCAAATTTATTGTCTTCAAAGTGCTTCTTTAAACACAAATTTAAAAGCCATTCATGTATCAATATATGGGGGTTACATCATTAAAACAATGCCTGAAAGGAATTTCCAAAAATTATTACAAAAAAAGTATGCCTATATTATACCTGAGGCAAAAGAAACCTTTTTTTTATTTAAAAAAAAAAACATATGACATTTGGGGTATAAGTTAATAAAACAGCAACCTTATGAAAAAGACATCTAAAGATCATTCAATTAATACTTTTCTAAATGATTGTTGGAAATGGACGTCAGGCCTTGGTGAAAACTGAATGATTTTGTTTATTACAAAAAAAGATAAATAATAATATTTGATAATTATTTATTCTTAATTATTTATCTGAATTGTTTCCCTTTGCACATATCTTTGTGAACACTTTTAACAACTGATATTCAGCTGTCAAAAATCCAGTTCCATTGGACAATGCTAGTGACAATGTCAGTATCAAAGATTTGAATCTCTTTCTTGTTACCATGGCAACAGTCCATATCACAGTAATTTCCCCTGTCAATCATACAGTTATTTCCCCTTTCAGTCATCCTCATCTTCCTCTTCCTCCTGCATCTCTCCACCAGAGCCTATAAAATTTAGATCATCACATTAAAGCAACAAATACTAATAAAGAAAACAAAGTATGAATTACTATTAATACATAGTAACAACTAGTAATAAACTGTTAACACAGAGATATGTCCAGTGGCCGATCTAGGGGGGGGGGGGGGGGAGGGATGGAACCCCCCCCTTTTTTTTTTACGATCAATGCATTTGAATGGGGAACAAGACTTGCAAATGCCAATAAATTTGCATACGAAATATCATTGACTTAACATTAGCAGTTCATCTTAAAATTATCTAATCACAAACTAATACATGTAAACTAAGCAAAAGCTTCAAAGTCAATAGAACATGACTGAGGGGCGGGACCAAATATTCTCCATGGAAATGAGATGTACTAATGCTTATACAATTGCATACCAAATAACATTGGCCTACCACTAATGGTTCCTCTTGAACTGACCTAATCACAAACTAATACATGTAAACTAAGCAAAAGTTTCAAAGTCAATAGACCATGACTGCGGGCTCGGGACCGAATATTCTCAATGGAAATGAGATATGCCAATGCTTATACAACTGCATACCAAATATCATTGGCTTACCACTAGTGGTTCCCCTTGAACTGACCTAATCACAAACTAATACATGTAAACTAAGCAAAAGTTTTAGTGTCAATAGGCCATGACTGAGGGGGCAGAGCCAAATAATCTCCATGGAAATGAGATATGCCAATGCTTATACAACTGCATACCAAATATCATTGACTTACCACTAGTGGTTGCCCATAAACTGACCTAATCACAAACTAATACATGTAAACTAAGCAAAAGTTTTAGTGTCAATAGGCCATGACTGAGGGGGCAGAGCCAAATAATCTCCATGGAAATGAGATATGCCAATGCTTATACAACTGCATACCAAATATCATTGATTTACCACTAGTGGTTGCCCATAAACTGACCTTATCACAAACTAATACATTGTTGACGATGCCGCCGCTGCCGGAAACAGCATACCTTTGTCTCGCTTTTTGACTCCGTCATTAGGCAGTCCATATGCTTTTTAACTTTCTATAAAACTAGTATTGCCTATGATCAATAGTATGTTGTCTTTAATAATAATAATAATAATAATAATAATAATAATAATCAATGACATTGAGCTCCATGTTGTATGAATGAAATCCAGTTATCATCTGTTAGCACTTGTTTTGTACTTGGGATAATAAAATGCACTTATGTTTTTTTTTTTTACAAAAACTCATTTTAAGCTAAAACCCAACTTTTTAATTATATAAAGAGGATTCCTTCCACAAATTTTTAGCAGTTTTAACCATTAACTTGTTTGAATATAATAGGTGATAGAATTGACTGAAGAAACATGAGAAACTTCTCCTTCTTTCAATGTACATTTGAAAGGTATTTATTTTATCATTTTTCAAACACCTCACACGAGACTATTTTTATTGATGAGCATAAAGTCTTGTGCTGTAGGAATTGACTTGCTGATAGGGAAACAAACCTGCCTAATTTAAGCCCTATCATAAACTATAAAATACCTTGCTGATGACTTGTAACAGCTAAATCTAATTGGACCACATGATCTGGTGCATCTATCACATGACTATTGGTACTGGTCACATGATTAGTAACTTCCATAACATGGTCTTCTGGTAAAATCATGTGACCTTCATTAATTGGAATTACTTGGTCCTAAAAAATATACAAGAGAAGATAACTTGGTCTTAATCTAAACTAGACTAAGGTGATTGATAACATTTAGACTTAAGGTTTTCCACTATCCTAATTTTAATTCTTTCCCTTTAATCACCGATTAATCTACGTTGTCACGAATTTATCCCCTTGAACACTTATTCCTCTGCTTTTTCACTGATTAATCCCCTTCATCATTGATTAATCTCCCATCCAAGGCCCAAAGCTATGAGATGTGATGTACATGTAGCTGAAAAACTTCAATTTGAAAGGCCATATATAATATGTTTATTGCTATTTTCCTAGGCTACTATCATGCAATGATTGTGTTCTCACTCTACTTGACTGTCAGAGTAAAACCATAAACTAAACCTTTTATTCTTTTCTTGTTCTTCATCATGTTCATGACTAAAATCTGCTTGTGGTGGATAGTTTACTCACTGGCAATCATCCTTCAACTCCTTAGCAATCATGACTAAATCTGCTTGTGGTGGATAGTTTACTCATTGGCAATCATCCTTCAACTCCTTAGCAATCATGACTAAATCTGCTTGTGGTGGATAGTTTACTCATTGGCAATCATCCTTCAACTCCTTATCTTAAATTGTTTATATTGTTAATTAAATAATAACTTTAGTTACTACCAGCACGTCAGTCATGCCAATTTTGGGTATAATTCATATGTTTCTAACCTGAGTCAAGTGCAGGAGGTCATGGGTTGTGATCTCTTGCCGGGTCGAACCAAAGACTTGAAAAATGATATTTGCTTATCCTTTTCACTAAGCACAACGCATTTAGGAGTCAAGAACAAAGACTGTGTCTGGGGGGAGGAGGGGGGGGGGGGGGGGGTGACTTGTCTTCCAGCAGACTGTTACTTTGTGAACCAGCACGTTAAAAACCCAGCCTAGCTTGTCGTTATTGTACAAAGCAGGGTTCATATTCATATCACATAAACCTCTTCTCGTCTTGAAAATGCATTTACCTTGCCATTTGACAAACATGCTTAATGTTAAACAACCATCAATCATTATTACTAAAATGGATTTTAATCAATTTTAAGTGACTTGGCTAGCGTAAGTTTGTTATGTTGTCATTGAAATTTTGTGGGACCATGTACCAGGGTGTAATGAGGAGGACCTACCCCTGACTGAATGGATACTATCTGTGGAAGATCCTGTAACTGCTGTTCACTTGGTTGATGAACTTCATTTGTAGATTTTAACTCTGAAGAGTCAACCATTTCCTCTGCCAAATACATTTCCTGTTCTGTTCTTGACATGTTCTGATCATGCCTAGAGCTGATGGTAAGTTGTGAATTAGCTGAAGTTGTCTGAAGTCTTCTTTTGCTTAGTAAAGCCAACTCTTCTACCTGAAATAAAAAAGATAATGATGTATGCCAACTCTTCTACCTAAAATAAAAAATACACGGACAGAGATATATATATAATGTATTATGATGGATGATATAATTTATAAATTAGTTTGACCTAAATAAAGGCACACAAAAATATCAGGAGTATGACATATCTAACAATGAACTACAATGTATATATGCAATTTAATGGGACACTTTTCTTTTTTTGTTCTTATGCTTATATACGGTTTACATGGTTTAAGAGAAGAAAAAAGTTTAAAATAGATGTAAAATAAAACACACCAATTTATAAGATTAAATATATATTGTCAGGACTGTGACATAATTTTATAATCATTGCTTTAAATTTCATAATTGCCTTTTTGTTTCTTAGTGTGGATAGTAAAATGGGGGTTGTCTCAGAGTTGGTAAAATCACTCGAAACTAGGTGAGACATGCGCAGTAGTGATAGATATGTAGTATAAATATAGAAAATTGAATATTTTAATCAACAACAAAAAATTTCTGTATCATATACCCAAGCGCCTGTGTTCTAGACGTGTATAAGGGGTTACCTTATCATGCTTATGCTTAAATTCTGATAATTATCTCCATGGAAATGAGATGTGGCAATGCTAATACAACTGCATACCAAGTAGCATTGACTTACCACTATAAATGGTTCCCAATAAACTGACGTAATCACAACTTATTACATCATTTTTGTACATTGTTGACGCTCAATTATCAAAGTTAATTTTTACCCATTCTAGCTAATAGCATGTAACTCTATAGGGTTATTAGAGAAAATATCTTGCATGTGTTATTACAGATACTTTCATGAGTTGTCTACTCTTTATTTCTTAAATTTTCTAAATCTGTAGTAACAAGTTTGTTATTTGTTAAATAAATCATAAATATTTTAATTTTTAGTGGGCACTTGGGAATTCTTGAAACTTTGCGCAGAAACTAAATACATATAGCCTTGATAACTAATTTTCGAATTAAATCAATACATTTTTAATCAACCATGGTAAATCAATGAGACAATGAGAACTTGTGTAAATTTTAACAAAACAAATGATGTATATTGGCCCTTTGAAACATGTACCATACATATGTTATCACAGTTCTTTGATTTTTTAATCCACAATAACAAATGTATGTTATTTTTCTCTAATAACCCTATAGAGTTATACCCTTGACTGTTAATAATCAAAGAATAACTAGTCGAAGAATTCAAATATTAAAAAATATTCAACAATTGACCGAACAACATAATTCACAAATGTGCTTAGCGCATGAGTTAAATTTTCAAATAACTGAGTTTATTTCACATGTGTAATTATCGGTCTTTATTTCACTGAAAATTCACTGCAAAATCACAGAATTTCATTGCAACCATTTTAATAAATGTCTTTTCAATTTAAGCATTGAAAAGAAGTATAGATCTTACAAATAATATTCAAAGAAATTTAAAATCAATAAATTACCATCCTTAAATATATGATTTTTTGTTCATTTTGTATTTCATTTATATTTTTATCAATTTACATGTATATATTAAATTTAAGTAGGGTAACTTGAAATACATGGTAAAACAAGGGAAGTAACTCAAAATTTCTATGAAATGTTTTCAAATACACAATTAATTTATTACATAACAGCAGTAAGTCTGAGGTAAAAGATGTTAATTAATAGTACGGTTGTCAGGGGAAGCCATATAATTATACAAGTTCTTTGATTTGCAGGTAAAAATTATTTCATCAGTGACACAAAATCGATTTCAGATTGTGACATCAATGGTAATGAAAAATGGGGGCTGACAAATCTTTTGGGGTTGAAATTTTGATAAAAAAACCAAGATTTGAATTATTAATAGGAGGGTCGGAAGAATCACGTCTGCTTAGCTTTGATTACTTTTCAAAATATCTAATAATGAACAGTTTTCAAACTATATTCATACATAAATTCTTCTCTTAAATTTGAATTTGATGATGAATCTATACTTACAATTTCTATTAATTGTGCAATACAGCCTTGAATTTGGATTGTCATTAAATATTTGACATAACATAGGTCTTAGAACTTAAAAATCAATAATTGGACATTTTCCTCATATGGTCCAATATATATCCAAAATCTAAATACATGATAAATTCAGCATATCAAAGATTTACCCCAAGAATTCAATTTTTGATGACATCAAACAAAGGTTAATTTTGGACCCTTGGACCTTAATGTGGACCAATTTTGTAACAGGGTTCAACCTTCAAAATGGTTAGATGCAGCATTTCAAAGAACCCCATATATTAATTTTTTTGTTTAAATCAAACAACAAACATCTTTAACCCCTCCGCATTCTTTATGTGCCTGCCCCAAGTCAGGAGCCTGTAGTTCAGTGGTTGTCGTTCATATTTTCATGTTGGGGCCTTTTATAACCAACCTAAGTTAAGGTATGGGTTTTTCTCATTGTTGAAGGCCTTACTATTGCCTATAATTGCTTACATCCACTTCATTTGAACTTAGGTGGATAGTTGTCTCATTGACAATCATACCCCATCTCCTTATTTTAATAAAGTTTTATTTTGTACCCCCATTTGAAATTTGGGCCCAAAATCAAAAGTCTAAATACACATGTTTAGATATAGCATTTCAAAGAACCCCAAACATTCTATTTTTTGTTAAAATTAAACTAAGTTTAATTTTGGACCCTTTGGACCTTAATCATGTTAATGTAAATCTATTAGAAAACTAGGTTCAAAATAAAAATCTTAATATAGGGTTAGTCAGCATATTATCAAAGGACCCCAAAAAATCAATTTTTGTTGAAATCAAACAAAGTATTATTATGGACCCTTTGGACCTTAATGTAGATCAATTTCAAAATGGGCCCCAAAATAAAAAATCTAAATACACGGTTAGATTCAGCATAGATAATTCATAGATGGAATCAAAAAAGGTCAATTTTAGACCCTTTGACCCTCAATGTGAACCAATTTAAAAACTGGGCTCAAAATCCAAAATCTAAATACACATTTAGATTCAACATGTTCAACATATTAAAGAACCCCGAAAATTTTAAGACTTAGAATTAAACCCCATTGAAATTGGTCAAAAAATAAGCAATTTATATAAAGTATTAGCAAGTATTGTTTTGGTTCCTTTTCCCAAACAGTTAGCTCTAGGGCCATTACCCCCCAAATCAATTCTAACCTTCCTTTTTTGGTATTGAACCTTTTGGTACAATTTCATAGAGATCAAAAGACTTACACTCAAGTTATTGTCTGGAAACCAGAAAATCCTAGTTTTTTGGCCAATAATGCCTAATCGATTTGGGCCATAACCCCAAATCAATCCCAACCATCCTCTTGAGGTATGGAACCTTGTGGTACAATTTCATAGTGATCCATACACTCGTACACAAGTTATTGTCCTGAAACAAGAAAAATGCTTGATTTTGGTCCCCTAGTCTAATTCCTAAACAGTTAGGACACTAACCCTCAAAATATTTCCCAACCTTCCTTTTGTGGTATGGGACCTTGTGGTACAATTTCATAGAGATCCATACAATTTTCCTCAAGTTATTGTCTGGATACCAAATGTCTTTGGAAGATCATCAGACTACTCTGACAACATCATAACATTATACTACTGCAATTTAGCGGTTGTATAATAATAGGCAATAGAACCCCATAACTCAGAAACGTAAAATCCAAAATTTATAAAAATCATAAGGGAGCTCATGTCAATAGATATAAACAATTCACAGAAGTTTCATGCAAATTGGTTGAAGCGATTTTGAGTTATTGTCCGACATCTTGATGATGGATGAATGGACAACAGTATACAATAATACATCCCTTAAACAGCTAGACGTATAAAAACATAAAAAATTGGTGAAAATTGTGATTTAAGGGCACTAACTCCTATGAAGAGTGAGCCAACAATATCAGCAATATTAACTTATTTGTAGATCTTGTCTTGTGGATCATTTTTGCTTTTAAAATTTTCTATCTATATAATAAAGTTTTCAAAATAATAGGGAAAAACACAAAAAAATCATCAACAAAGGGCAATAAATCAATTCTAAGTCATTAAAGGCAATTATAGCACCAATAAGCAGCCGACAATTTTGGCCAAATCAACTTATTTGCATATCTTGTACATGTCTTGCTGATCATTTTTGTAATCTAAAGTTATGACTAAACAAGCATTCTGTGAGTATTGCATGGCAATACATAGTCCCCTACCAGTTAAAAATTCATTGTATTGGAACAAAATTCTAACTTGATCTATAAGTTGTCATGGTGCAAACTACATAACAAATATCAAGTCAATATCTTCAAGCATGACGAAAAAAAGTGTTGAAAACTGATTATTTAAGTGAATTTTCTAAGTCCAAGGACCATAACTCTGCACAAAATCATCAGACCAGAACAAAAGTCGAACTTGATCTGTAACTTGTCATGATAAAACTATATACCAATTTTGAAATCAATATATTAAAGCATGACTAAACAAGCATTCTGTGAGTATTGCATGGCAATACATAGTCCCCTACCAGTTAAAAATTCATTGTATTGGAACAAAATTCTAACTTGATCTATAAGTTGTTATGGTGTAAACTACATTACAAATATCAAGTCAATATCTTCAAGCATGACGAAAAAAAGTGTTGAAAACTGATTATTTAAGTGAATTTTCTAAGTCCAAGGACCATAACTCTGCACAAAATCATCAGACCAGAACAAAAGTCGATCTTGATCTGTAACTTGTCATGATAAAACTATATACCAATTTTCATGATAACAACATAAAGGAGCATACCATCTTCAGCAAATTTCTATCCGATGAAACAAAAGAGGAGCTAATGATTTCATGCAAATTTCTATCCGATTAAACAAAAGGGGAGCTAATGATTTCACACAAATTTCTATCCGATTAAACAAAAGGGGAGCTAATGATTTCACACAAATTTCTATCCTATTAAACAAAACAGGAGCTAATGATTTCACACAAATTTCTATCCTATTAAACAAAAGACATGAAAGAGTAGCTAATGATTTCACACAAATTTCTATCCTATTAAACAAACAAGAGGCTCTCAAGAGCCTGAATCGCTCACCTGTATTTCAGAGGAGAAGATTTTTAAATGTTAGCAAACTTGATGAACAAATTGTGTAAAATTGTCTTTAAAGGGCAATAACTCCTAAAGGGGTCAATTGACAATTTTGGTCATATTAACTTTTTTGTAGATCTTACTTTGCTGAACATTATTGCTGCTTACAGTTTATATATATCTATAATAATATTCAAAATAATAACAAAAAACTGCAAAATTTTGTTAAAACTACCAATTCGGTGGCAGCAACCCAACAATGGGTTGTTCGATTCGTCTGAAAATTTCAGGGCCGATAGATCTTGACCAATTAAACAATTTTACCCCTGTCACATTTGCTCTAAAAGATTTAGTTTTTGAGATATAAGCCAAAAACTGCATTTGACCCTTATGTTCTATTTTTAGCCATGGCGGCCATGTTTGTCGATGGATACAAACTTCGGATACAATTTATAAACAAGATACCCTAAGGAACATTTAGTTAAAGTTTGAAGGTAATTGGCCCAGTAGTTTCAGAGGAGAAGATTTTTAAATGTTAGCAAACTTGATGAACAAATTGTGTAAAATTGTCTTTAAAGGGCAATAACTCCTTAAGGGGTCAATTGACAATTATGGTCATATTAACTTTTTTGTAGATCTTACTTTGCTGAACATTATTGCTGCTTACAGATTATATATATCTATAATAATATTCAAAATAATAACAAAAAACTGCAAAATTTTGTTAAAACTACCAATTCGGTGGCAGCAACCCAATAATGGGTTGTTTGATTCGTCTGAAAATTTCAGAGCTGATCGATCTTGACCAATTGAACAATTTTACTCCTTGTCAGATTTGCTCTAAAAGCTTTAGTTTTTGAGATATAAGCGAAAAACTGAATTTGACCCCTATGTTCTATTTTTAGCCATGGCGGTCATGTTTGTCAATGGATCAAAACTTCCGACGACAGACGACGACGACGGACGCCTGGTGAGCTAAAGAGGAGCTAATGATTTCACACAAATTTGTTTGTCTGATTACAGAAAAGTATTAAGAAACATGCAACAATTCTGATTGTAAAGAAACAATAGCCTTTGGGGGCTTATCAGGTAGCATCTTGCCTCATATAGTATATTCCTACAAGTATTATCAGTCAGGGGTACTACTTAAACAAGTGATTTCATTATCACCTATTTCAGTGATTTTTTAAATTCAGTTATCACCTATTTAAGTGATTTTGGTGTTTCCTTTGATCTTCAAATGCAAATTTCATTGATTTTCCATATTTTCACAAACTTTTCTATAATTTTCCTATATAGGTCAATTATCCCTTTATCTTTGGATATCAATTTCACTAGTGCGCTTGGCCAGTAAGTTAGTGCGCTAAAGCTTTTAAAAGTACCCTTGGGAATTGTTCTGTAATCAAATATTCATTAACTACTCTTACTATCAGACAAAGGTCAACAATATTAGGTAACCTGACTGGTTTTCTTTATAGTTAGAATGATTTATTTCAAGGTTATGTCCTGATCTACAAATTATTCCAGTTTTTGCATATTTAAATAAACTGTTAAAACTGACAGGCTTATCAAGCAAAAGACAATTTCTGCATGTACATAGTTGTTTTTTCAATGCAATTCTTGTCTTTTTACCAATAAAAAAATCAAGCTTGTGGGAAAAATATCAAAAAAATGTTATAAACACTTATTGAAGTGATTACATTTTAACTTCTCAAATTACTTGTTTCAGTGATTTTAAAAAGTCTGTGCGAAAAATTTTAATATTTCACAGCCAAAATCACTCAAAGAAGTGATTCTGAAATCACTTGTTTAAGTAGTACCCCTGACTGATTATAGTCAATTGATAGTTTTTTCATATCAAATTATAGTAATCATTTATTACAATTATAGCTAGAAGTGGCAGGTGGGTTTGTTTCAGCTCATCGGTAATATGAAACTGGCTTATTGTACTATATTCAATTCAGTCATGTCAGTAGGCATGCTCTGTTCCTGCAGAAGGTGTAAAAATAAACTAAAATTGAGAATGGAAATGGGGAATTTGTCAAAGAGACAACAACCCAACCAAAGAGCAGAAAACAGCCAAAGGCCAATAATGGGTCTTCAACACAGCAAAAAAATCCTGCACCCTGAGGCGGGCATCAGCTAGCCCCTAAACAAAAATGTGTACTAGTTCAGTGAAAATGGATGTTGTACTAAACTCCAAAACATATAAATGAACTAAAATTAATAAAACATACAAAGAGATGAAGAACAGCAATAAAAGCTTTGTTCCTTTGCTTTTTGTGTTTTTTTTTTATATTCTTTTTTGCTGTGCATGTACTGATTTTTTGTCATGGATGGATACCGCATATCCTTTGTATTTCTATTAAGACCATCAAAGGCCAGAGGTCTCAAATAATTATTGTTACCGTCATTTTTTGAAAAACATTTAATGGGATTCATCAAAATCAGTCAATTTTTATCGTCTCAAAGAAAGTGTACATTTTATCGTCATGCACCAAAAATTACCGTCAACGTCATTTGGCAAGATTTTCTACCGTTATTCGTCATGAATGTACCACCATTATGACCCTCAGTCAACAACTATTGGCACACTTCAAAGGTATGGCAATAAAATCATGGTGTTAGGATAAGATAGATAAGATATTGGGAGAAAAGACACCAAGGTAACAAACAATTAAGGGATTAAATGGAGAAATTACACCAAGTTTCTCCCAAGATTTAGAGAGTGTTGCTGGAGTTTTTTGGTGAGACACCAAATTTTTACACAGTATTTAGAGGAATACAGGTCCTTTCGCCCTGATTCATGTTCGTCCTAGTACCTATCGCCCTGATTCATGTTCGCCCTAGTACCTGTTCGCCCTAATACCTGTTCGCCCAGGGTCCATTCGCTCTGATTTATTTGTCTAGCTGCATTTGTTTGCACCTGTCCTAAGTCAAGAACCTGTTGTTCAGTGGTTGTCGTTTGTTAATGTGGTTCAAAAGTATTAGTCGTTTCTCGTTTTTTATATAGATTAGACCGTTGGGTTTCTTGTTTGAATGGTTTTACACTAGTCATTTTTGGGGCCCTTTATAGCTTGCTGTTCGATGTGAGCCAAGGCTCCGTGTTGAAGGCAGTACTTTGACCTATAATGGTTTACTTTTACAAAATGTAACTTGGATGGAGATTTGTCTCATTGGCACTCTTACCACATCTTCTCATATATATCTATTATACATGTTATAATTAATCCTTTTCGTGTTTTACATTTCGATACATCATTGTTTTTACTCATTCCAAGCGGACTAGTTTATCAAAACAAAATGTTGTTTTTATTATTAATCCATCAAAGACAATTATTACAACAATCAGTGAGAATTATTATTATGAACAAGTAATGCTCCATCACACGCCATCAATTTTAAATATATATTTCGATCCATGTGTTTTCATGAATTTCAAGAATTTATACCATATACATATTTGAATAAGTTTATCAAACTTTAATACCCTTAATATTAACATTTTTCAATAAAAGTAGGTAGAAGGAACACAGGGCAAACTGACTCTATGGGGGAATGAACTCAGGGCGAACGGGCCAGTGAACACGTAATCAGGGCGAACGGACTCGTATTCTCTGTGTGTACTGTATCCTCTTGTTTCAGAGCAAATTCATACTTCATGTCAGACAAACCCACTATGAGTTTCAAAACAAACTTCTATCAAAATATCTAATGCATACATGTTAAGAACAATATGAATAAGTCAAGGATTTGCATAGTGAGATATCCCTATACAAATCCTTGCAAAAAGTGTAGCCGAATCGACTATGGCCGAAACGACCAGGGGCAGAACTGGTTCTGTGGTCGAAACGTTCCCAAAGCCTGTTTAGCAATAAAACCCTATTCTATTATATTGTAATCTATAAAACTGTAAACATACTTTTAAGCGATTCAGTTGGTCGGTCAATAGCGAAGCTAGCGATATAAGTGTTCTTTCTTCATCTTTTAAACGTTTCAGTTCTCTTAACTCTGTCATTCTTATGTTATGGTTAGTTAATTTCCTAATATGAAACTGTTGTAAAGGGACATAATCTACTTGGAAAATATACAACTCGCCCCATTTAAAAATCGCTCCAGACAAACTCGCCCTTTTTTCTTACAACGCGCCACATTTTTAAGAATTAGATCCCGCTGAATTTAGAACTGGCAACTCGACCTGCTAATAAACAAATAAAAAGGAACCAAATCACGCTGAATGAAAACACTCTAACGAAAAACAAGGACGTATCATAAATCCTTGCAAAAAGGAGCCATAGCCAGATTGAAAAAGGCACAACTCGACACAATAATGAAATGGAATTTAGACAACTTGTACTTGTCCCAACTTTTAAAACTAAAAAAAAAATAAAAAAATGGTTATATGGATAACAAGGGAAAAATAATATTTGATTACGAAACAAGTTGCAAAATTCTAATATTAAATGCACTAAATGCTTCATTTCTTAAAATAATTAAAATTTGGGATGTATTGCCTTAATAGCCTCTTAGGTGCTTTTTTACTGGCTCCGGGAAAATAGCCTCCGGCTTAGCGCTATTTTGCCGGCTCTGGTAAAAAAAAAGCGATTTATATAGAGTTTTGCTATTTTGCCGGTCTTAATTCAGATTTTCAGTATGATATTAAAGAATAGAAAAATACACGAACATTTAATAAAAAAAATCTCTAAAAATATGCCTTCTTAAAAAACAGTACGGTTTTTTATTTTTATTTTGCCGGTACCGACAAAATAGCCACTGCCTTAAAAAACAGTACTTAAAAATGTTGTATTAATGCAAGGCAATATAATATCTGTTCCTGTTGGAATACATATTCTATACTCATTATTCCGTTAGGAACAAACACTGTAATGTTTGTTCCAGTGTTATTCCAGTGGAAATAATATTACAGAATATTTCTTCCACATGCAACTTATATTACGAAGGAACTTCTATGTAATGACAAGTTGAGACAAATAAACAACAACGCAGATGCTGCTGGAATATTGCTACATATGATTTGGAAGATGATTCCAAACTGCTTCAACATGTTCAATCCATCAAGGAAGTAACGCAACATTAACATGGATACATATGATTTGGAAGATGATTTTAAACTGCTTCAATCCATCAAGGAAGTAACGCAACATTAACATGGATACATATGATTTGGAAGATGATTCCAAACTGCTTCAACCCATCAAGGAAGTAACGCAACATTAACATGGATACACTGAAATGTTGCACTCCATATCGCAACGAGAAATACCGATGTAACCTTGTTTTTTTACCTTTTAATTCAAAAGGATTCTAGTTTTATTATGTACATCATCGGCAAGTATGATGAAGATAGAGAGATGAGAGACACAACCTCTACAGTGTCCAAAAGATGTACGTCACAGGTGTATTTTAATTGGTAGTACCAAAAATAAAAATTTGAGAAAAAAATATTTTGGTTTTAAGCAATGGCATCGTTGTGTATGGCATGTGTAGTTTCTTTGTGTTTGTTTCCTTTCTAACGGGTGTTTTTATCTTATTTTTATTTAACTTGACAAAAAACTTTTACTTCTCAGTACTACTGCTACTACTACTTCTTTAAAAAAATATCCACACACACTTATACAGAGCCGAACTCTCAACAATATTCAATAAAATAACACAGACAGGCATTCGTACAAAAACAGTATGTTACCATGGTTACAGAGGCTGCTTAGATGATAACATATACAAAGAGAATCCAAAACGTTAAGAAAATAGAACTGCAACTACTTTTCAGTGTTTGATTATAAACAATAAAAAAATACAAATTTCAAATGACTATCTTGAAAGTCCATAAAATGTCCACAGATATAAGTCTTTATAAATATGTAAATATAACAGACAGTCCAATGTTTCCACCGCTTCCACTATTGACAATTATCCAAATTTGATAATAACAGTAAGTCGATAAATCCTAATTGAAGTTTGTGTTTACTGTCCACAATGGCTGTAATCCTAACATCTATCATAACGCAGTATTATCCATTTCAAGATAAAAGATTAAAGAAATCTTATATAAAATAACAACAAGTTAGAGTGAAGCTATCAATGAAGTATTGTATAAAATCATGACAACTTACTGTACTGAATAATGAATTAAAAGTGGTTTATACGCCAATCAAATCAAATCATTCTATTGGTGTACAAATATTGGATAGTTACCAAGACTAACATAACAATATTTACAAACATACAACATTTAAATTTAAGCAACATTCATATTATATAAAAAGTAAAAAAATAAAAAAATAAAAAAAATACCGAACGCCAAAGGAAATTCAAAATGGAAAGACCTTTATAAAATGGCAAAATCATTTTTTTTACGCTCAAACAAATCTAAAGTCGGGACGAATGGAAAACAACATGTTCCTGACTTGGTACAGGCATGATTTCCTTATGTAGAAAATGGTGGATTAAACCTGTATCTCATAAGTGTCTCATAAGTATCTCATATATTTACTAGATATTTTGGAGAACGTGATACTTTTGCAAATTTGAAAGTAAAAGTACAATATTCTTAATGCAATTATTATAAGATATATAACATAACAAATATATAGGAAAAATTTAGAATAATTATAAATTTGCATTACATAATCAGTTTTTCTTGTCAGCCAATTAATGACAAGAGTCATCCAAACACTTACTGTTTATTACTTAAAGACAAAATGACATGTGAACCAAAAAGGGCTGTTTTGTGCCTTATTCTATTATTAGTCATTATGCCATGAAGCATTCATAATCACTAGTAAAATACAGCTTATATTCACAGTTCTCCCCCAAAACTAATTAAGACGGTAGCGGTTAATATCTGGAGATAAATACACTGGTTAAATGAAGACATCGTGATTAGTTCAACCTATTTCAAGTGTGAACTGGTTAAAGATTAGACAGTCCTTATCATTCATCAACATATTTCTGAGGATATGTCTGGTATGTATATCTTAAAGCTCCGACCATTCAACAACATATTTCAGAGGTTATGTCTGGTATGTATATCTTAAAGCTCCGACCATTCAACAACATATTTCAGAGGTTATGTCTGGTATGTATATCTTAAAGCACCGACCATTAAGCAACATATTTCAGAGGATATGTCTGTTATGTATATCTTAAAGCACCGACCATTCATCAACATATTTCAGAGGATGTGTCTGGAATGTATATCTTAAAGCTCCGACCATTCAACAACATATTTCAGAGGTTATGTCTGTTATGTATATCTTAAAGCACGTGACCGACCATTCATCAACATATTTCAGAGGATATGTCTGGAATGTATATCTTAAAACCTCCGACCATTCAACAACATATTTCAGAGGATATGTCTGGTATGTATATCTTAAAGCTCCGACCACTCAACAACATATTTCAGAGGTTATGTCTGTTATGTATATCTTAAATCACCGACCATTCATCAACATATTTCAGAGGATATGTCTGGTATGTATATCTTAAAGCTCCGACCATTCAACAACATATTTCAGAGGTTATGTCTGTTATGTATATCTTAAAGCTCCGACCATTCAACAACATATTTCAGAGGTTATATTTGTTATGTATATCTTAAAGCACCGACCATTCATCAACATATTTCAGAGGTTATGTCTGGTATGTATATCTTAAAGCTCCGACCATTTAACAACATATTTCAGAGGATATGTCTGTTATGTATATCTTAAAGCACCGACCATTCATCAACATATTTCAGAGGATATGTTTGGTATGTATATCTTAAAGCTCCGATCATTCAACAACATATTTCAAAGGTTATGTCTGGTATGTATATCTTAAAGCTCCGACCATTCATCATTTGTGTTGTGGGTCCGCCCCTAACCCCACCCCACTCCCACCTACAACTTTTTTTCGACGATAATAAGAAAAAATCGCTTCCATACACGGTGGGTCTCATTGGGTTGTAAGCGATCCGGGATTGGCCGATGTTTTGTAATCGTGACACGTGAAAGTCAAATTATTTTTGCGTGAAAACGGGAAACGTGATATTACAAGCGCTATTATTACAATGATAAGCGTGATACGTCATTCTGATAAAACAATCAGCGGGATCCGGGATCAGACCACCCCCCCCCCCCAAAAAAAAAAAGAGACCCCCTACAGGAACAATGTTGCTTTTTAAACTCAACGTTAAATTTAAATATTCCCTAAATTTACTTCCCTTCTGAAACATATATTTTGTTTCAAAATATTTAGGTGAGCCGTTTGGAGATTGAGTTCATATCGAATAACGAAACGGCCGCCAACTTCACACACCTGTATTTAGAATTCAAAAAGATATTTAAAACCCCCACGCCACTATAGAAGACGAATGGTAGGTACCAAAGTCACCATGATGATTGAATGATTGGTTGTTTATTTGTTGTTTGCATAGGGAACGTCCTTGTATAGTCATCAGTGATTTTTCCATGTATATTTTCCAAAGAAAAAGAGGTAAAATATCAAAAATACCGAACTCCAAGGGAAATTCAAAACGGAAAGTCCTTTATAAAATATCAATAAAAAGCTCGAACACATCTAACGAATGAAAAAACTGACTTGGTACATTTCCTTATGTAGAAACTGATGGATTAAACCTGGTTTTATAGCTAGCTAAACCTCTCATTTGTATGACAGTCGCATACAAAATTTTACACACATTAAAGGAAAGAGCAAGGGATCTCGAGTAGATTATTCAATACATAATCCAAATGTAAAAGATTTGAATTCTGCCATTTTTCGTATTAATGAATTTGTAAGATTCTGAACGACATGAGAAGTTCCTTATTGACCAGTAAAATATATAACATTAGCGACGAACAAACATAAAGACAAGAGTAAATCTAGCCTCATGTAGTTCCAGTAAAATATAACAATAGCGACGAAAAAATATAAAAACAAGAGTAAATCTAGCCTCATGCAGTTCCAGTAAAATATAACAATAGCGACGAAAAAATATAAAAACAAGAGTAAATCTAGCCTCAGTAGCAGTAAAATATATAACAATAGTGACGAACAAATATA